TCTACTGACCTGGTATTGACAATCAAGGGGATTTCCCTGTCCCCAGACGACCTGCTTGTCAGTTTTGATGTGGTTTCCTTATTCACCAAAGTTCCTGTACCTGACACCATCGCAATCATTGAAGACTTGGTTCATCAAGGACTGAATACTGAGGTACCCCCCCCTGGTGAGACACTGCTTAACCAATACATATTTCACCTGGAATGGAACTTTCTACAAACAGAGGGTACCCCAATGGGCTCCCCCCTATCTCCGGTTGTAGCCAACGTTTTCATGGAGAAATTTGAGACCGACGCCATCCAGACTGCCACTCTACACCCGACCTTATGGAAGAGGTACGTAGATGACACTTTTGTCATCTGGCCACATGGCCGGCCTGTTCTAGACCAATTCCTCGACCACATCAATTCCATACACCCAGCCATCAGATTCACCATGGAAGTCGAAAAAGATGGCAAGCTACCCTTTTTGGATGTCCTAATTAAAAGGAGACCTGATGGTTCAATGAGCCACTCTGTCTACAGGAAAGCCACCCACACGGATGCTTACCTAAAACCGGATTCCCACCACCATCCATCCCAGAAGAACTCCCTCATCAAGACTCTATACCAGGGGTCCTCAAACTACGGCCCGCGGGCCACATGCGGCCCGCCGAGGACATTTATCCGGCCCGCCGGGTGTTTTTGCCGCCGCTGCCTGTCTGTTACTTTTTTTCTGCATGAGAAGGACGGTCATTGGTGGAAGAGGGAGAGGGGGCGGAGTTCCCCCCAATCAGACTACATTGATGGGCAGTGCAGTCTGTATGTCTCTGTGTGGGCAAAGTTATTGCTGGTATATTGTTTTTGTAGCGCTGTATATATTGGTATTTTACTAATAGCAATTTTGACTCCCTAGGAAACAATGATGTCAAGAAAGAGAAAAATTGACTCGGAGTGTAGGATATTCAAAGAACAGTGGACTTATGATTACTTTTTCATGCAGTACAAGGAAAGAGCTGTGTGACTATGCCAGAATATAGTGTCTGTGTTCAAAGAATACAATTTACGTCAACACTATAAAACTCAACATAAAGATAAATTTGCTTGTTTGGTCGGAGAAGTGAGAAAAGATAAAATATTAAAACTGAAAAATACATTAACAACTCAGCGAAATAGTTTTGTGAAGCAGAAGCAGCTAAATATTTCATCACTGCGAGCAAGTTTTCAAGTTTCCAAGCTAATAGCATGCACTGGCAGACCATTCGTGGAGGGAGAATTTGTTAAAGAAAGCCTTCTTTCTGTTGCCAAAGAGATGTGTCCAGAGAAGGCCGATTTATTTAGTACAGTGAGTCTTTTAGGACCTACAATTACACGGAGGATTGAAGAAATGGGAGACAATTTGCATCAGCATTTGCAAAACTCCACAAAAAAACTTTCCTATTTTTCCTTGGCACTCGACGAAAGCAATGATGTTCGTGATTCTGCACAACTTCAAATTTTTATTCGTGCGACGAATGACTATTTCGAAGTCACAGAAGAGCTTGCTGCACTGCAAAGCATCAAAGGAACAACTACAGGAGAGGATATCTTTCGATTTAAAGCTTTCGTGACTGCAGGGATTCATCTTCTTGGTTCTTTCGGTAAAGTCACATAGAAGGGAAGTAATAAAATAATTCTCACGACGTTTCGGCCACAACGCAAGCAGCCGTCCTCAGGTGAAAACCAGGTCTGTTGGGGAGACAGCGTCTGAATGAAACAGCACACGAGCTTGGAGCATATATAAGCTGGGTTGGAAGCGGGGGAAAGAGCGCCTTGACAAAATAATTTCAATATCAAGAGGAATTTAGCATATTTATGGGAAATGCAGGAATGTGATTAGTACTACATATGCCCGTGATGCATATGTAGTACTAATAACATTCCTGCATGTCCCATAAATATGCTAAATTCCTCTTGATATGCAAATTATTTGTCAAGGCGCTCTTTCCCCCGTTTCCAACCCAGCTTATATATGCTCCAAGCTCGTGTGCTGTTTCATTCAGACGCTGTCTCGCCGACAGACCTGGTTTTCACCTGAGGACGGCTGCTTGCGTTGTGGCCGAAACGTCGTGAGAATTATTTTATTATGTTTTATTTTTATTATTTTATTACTTCCCTTCTACGTGACTTTACCGATAGAACCAAGAAGAGATGATATCTATGAAAAGGTTTGCCAAACTGTGAATGGTTTGGAGCTGAACTGGGCTAAACTAGCCAGTGTGACAACTGATGGTGCTCCTAGTATGGTGGGTCTAAGAAAGGAGTAATTGCTCGCATTAACCAAGAGATGGACAAACATAACCATTCTCATCCAATAGCCATACACTGCCTCATCCACCAACAAGCGCTGTGTAGTAAATCACTGAAGTGGGACTCGGTTATGAAATTTGTGGTATCTTGTGTTAACTTCATTAGAGCTCATGCACTAAACCACAGACAATTTCAGGCATTTCTGTCTGAGCTAAATGTTGACTATGAAGATGTTCTGTATCACACAGAAGTCCGTTGGCTGAGTCGAGGGAGAGTTTTGAAACGTTTCTATGACTTCCACAGATTACAGCTTTTCTGCTTTAAAAAAACAAAGAAGTACCAGAGCTCAATGATGCAGAATGGAAATGGCACCTTGCCTTTCTGACAGATGTAACAGAGCTACTCAACAGTTTCAATGTGCAACTTCAAGGAAAGGGGAAGCTCATCTGTGATATGCAATCACATGGCAAAGCATTTGAAGTAAAATTAGGCCTCCTCATCAAACAAGTGAAGGAGGAAAACTTCTGCCATCTCCCCACAACTCAAAATCTGTTAGCGGAAAAACCATTGGTTGCATTCCCAAACAAAACGTGTGGATTCACTGGAAAAATTGCAAAAGGAGTTCCAATTTGGATTTAAAGAGCTCCATCTCCATGAACAGGACATACAGCTTTTCCATAACCCATTTTCTATTGACATTGAAAATGTGGATAGAATTTACCAAATGGAACTGGCTGAACTGCAGAATTGTGACTCTCTGAAAGACGCATTCAAGTCAAGCAGCCTTCATAATTTCTATGCATCTCTCCCCTCTGAGACATATCCTCATCTCAGGAACCATGCACTCAAAATGGCAACCATCTTTGGCAGCACTTATGTCTGTGAACAGACTTTTTCCAGAATGAAACATTTGAAATCTCCAACCAGATCTAGACTAATGGATGCACACTTGCATCACTTGTTACGACTAGCAGTGACAAATATGGAACCGGACATTGACCATCTCATTAGCCAAAAGCAGGCCCATAGTTCCCATTGAAATACTGGCAAGTTTGTTGATTTAACTTTACTTGTTCTTCATTTTAAATATTGTATGTATTCCCATTTTGTTTCTTCACTTCAAAATAAGATATATGCAGTGTGCATAGGAATTTGTTCATAGTTTTTTTAACTATAGTCCGGCCCTCCAACGGTCTGAGGGACAGTGAACTGGCCCCCTGTTTAAAAAGTTTGAGGACCCCTGCTCTATACCATAGAGCCCAATGCATCTCCGACCAGGAACACATTGCCAGTGAACTCAAACACGTACGCCAAGCTCTTAAGGCTAATGGTTACTCCGACTACACAATCCGCAAGGCCATCACTCCAACCATCAAGAAAGATCCTGTTGAGGAGCCTATCAAAACCATCACCTTACCCTACATTGCTGGGGTCACAAAAAAGATCTCCAAAATCCTGATTAAACACAAGATCCAGGTCCGATTCAACACAGTACATAAAATCCGTGATCTGGTCCCGTCTGTAAAAGACGTGGTTCCAGATATACAGTACCCTGGCGTCTACAAACTAAGTTGCCTCTGTGGTAGCAGTTACATTGGAGAAACCAAACGACATGTCTCGGATCGTATCCGTGAACATAAAGCAGACCTGAAACACGGTAAGACAAACACCTCAGCCGTGGCAGATCACTGTTACAATATCAGTGGGCTCACATGACATTGACTTCTCCAAGACGGAGGTTCTCTGCAAGCCATCTGGCTACCATGAGAGATTCGTTCATGAGGCGATCCACATATATAAACACAGAGACAATTTCAACCGAGAAGATGGATTCTGGCTCGGCAATCATTGGAAGGACGTAATAAACCATTTCGGATCTTAACTGATTGTTGTTTACGGTGACTTTCAGACCGCAGTCCACTCACTGGCATTGACTGTATCTTGTGTGCTCCACAGGGAATGCATTATTTGCTCCGCTGCGGGTCTCCTGCTTCTACATACTATGAACATTCCCTCCCTTTGTTAATGCGACCCCCTCCCTTTGATGCTGCTAATCCTGCATAATGCATGGGTATAATATGACTTTGAAAACCCCAGCCCACCTTCTACGCATTTCCCATAAATATGCTAAATTTCTCTTGAAATGCAAATTCTTTTGTCAAGGCGCTCTTCCCCCCCCTCCAACCCAGCTTAAAAAGACGCTCTAAGCCTGGGGTTGTCATTCAGACTGTCTTCTCGACAGACCTGTTCTTCACCTGAGGACGGCTGCTTGCGTTGTGGCCGAAACGTCGTGAGAATTATTTTATTATGTTTTATTTTTATTATTTTATTACTTCCCTTCTACGTGACTTTACCGACAGAACCAAGAAGACGAGGAAATCTCGTTCGGCCCTTGCGCCCCCTGTTGACACGGGACCGGTACTGCAGGCCAAGAATATGGCATGGCGCCAAACGATGCCACCCACACATTCAATGCACGTTGTGGTTATAAGGTCGGTCGGCTACAGACATCAGCAGTTGGAGTTCATCACGACCACGGTGGCTAGGAGATGTTTACTTTCTCGCCCGGTATGCAAGCGGTCATGGGTTCGAGCCCGTGTACCAGGCGAGGAAGTTAACATCTCCCAGCCACCGTGATGATGATGATGAGTGAGACATGAAAACTCAAAATATGCAGACCATGCGAGGGTGTGAACATCGTCACCACCGCTCTGCTTCTCTTCTGCACAGTGTCGCTGGCCATGAGAACTCCGATGGGCTTCTCCCCGCTGCTGCTGGGACTCTGCGCCACGGCACAGCTGGGGGCAGTCGCCAGCGACTCTTGGTGGTAACCGCGAGACGCCGCCGCTGATTTCCTCTTCACTCTTCTTCTGCGATGGGCGCACAAGTGTCTAATATCTTGCACACACCCCCCCCCCCCCCCCCCCCCCCATACGGCTGTTTGTGTTTTGTTTAACACCGAGTAGCGGGCAGGGCTCTCGTGACCAATATCATCCACAGGAGTTTTTTTGGGGGGGGGTTACATCGCGTAAATGTATAAATGTTGTCATAAAAATATATCTAGCCACAGTGATGATGATAGAGACACACAGACTCCAAATATACAGCAGCAGCAGGCGTCAGGGTTGGGATCAAACCTACTACCTACTGCATACCAGGCGAGGTAGTCAACATCCCCTGGCCACCGTGACCCCCCTCCACCCCCTTCCCTCTGCAGGTCGCTGGCATTGTGGACACCCCGGGTCGACCCCTCCACGCATCCGCTGCTGTTGTGCAGCACGTCGCCGGGGCTGTCCCCCACACAGCGCCAAATATGCCAGAAGCAGCCGCACTTCATGAAGCTCGTGGCCGAGGGTGTCCAGCTGGCGATTGCCGAGTATCGGCACCAGTTCCAGGCCAAGCGGTCGAACTGGACCACGGAGAATGGGCTCGTCCCTATTCCTCGGTCGGGTAAGGAGATCGTCTCCCCGGGTCAGAGCCAGTGTCGAGCCTCTCCCGGCAAAGCGGGTTTCCCCTCGACGTTCAGCTACACACGGACGACCTGTCTACACGGCCTCATCGTCGGCTTCTAACTGCACAGCTGGCTGACTAATGCAGCGATGACGACGATGGGAGCCGTGCAGAGGATCGGACATGCGGCCGGAACACGGCGAGCGTAGCTAGGCCACGCCCCCTTCTAGAACCTTCCAGCAGGTTCCATGAGCTTCCCCACTGACCCACCTTCTACCTCTAGCCCAGACACGCCCCCTTCTAGAACCTTCCAGCAGGTTCCATGAGCTTCCCCACTGACCCACCTTCTACCTCTAGCCCAGACACGCCCCCTTCTAGGACCTTCCAGCAGGTTCCATGAGCTTCCCCACTGACCCACCTTCTACCTCTAGCCCAGACACGCCCCCTTCTAGAACCTTCCAGCAGGTTCCATGAGCTTCCCCACTGACCCACCTTCTACCTCTAGCCCAGACACGCCCCCTTCTAGAACCTTCCAGCAGGTTCCATGAGCTTCCCCACTGACCCACCTTCTACCTCTAGCCCAGACACGCCCCCTTCTAGAACCTTCCAGCAGGTTCCATGAGCTTCCCCACTGACCCACCTTCTACCTCTAGCCCAGACACGCCCCCTTCTAGAACCTTCCAGCAGGTTCCATGAGCTTCCCCACTGACCCACCTTCTACCTCTAGCCCAGACACGCCCCCTTCTAGAACCTTCCAGCAGGTTCCATGAGCTTCCCCACTGACCCACCTTCTACCTCTAGCCCAGACACGCCCCCTTCTAGAACCTTCCAGCAGGTTCCATGAGCTTCCCCACTGACCCACCTTCTACCTCTAGCCCAGACACGCCCCCTTCTAGAACCTTCCAGCAGGTTCCATGAGCTTCCCCACTGACCCACCTTCTACCTCTAGCCCAGACACGCCCCCTTCTAGAACCTTCCAGCAGGTTCCATGAGCCCTGTCATTGCACTAGTCAAGAATTCGCCACGTTCTGTCTACGTGCCGAAGCCTTGCCGGTCGGACGCGGCGGCTGTTTTAACGACGTGACGTTTCTATTTCGGCGACCTATGCTAGAAAGAAAAACAACAACCTCCATTATAGACAAATGATGAAATTTTTTGTGGGGGATGGTGGGTGGGGGGGCCCCCCAGGCTCTCGCGAGGCCGCCTTCTTCTCCGCCCTCACTGCCGCGGGAGTGGTGCACGCGGTGGCGCGCGCCTGCTACACCCCGCAGGTGATCCGCGACAGCTGCACCTGGACCTATGACCCCTTGCTGCACCCCAGAGGTAACATCGAATACGGAGTCCATTTCGCCAAGGTGTTTGTGGACGCGAGTGTCCACGACCGCTGGAGGCGAGGGGGACAACGCAAGTCTTTGGCGAAACTCGTGCAGATGGATTTGCACAACTACGAAGTCGGTCGCGTGGTGAGTGGACGGGTGGGTTGTAGGTATTGTCGTATGAAATGTTTTTTTATGGAAAAAAGTATCAGTTTATGAAATGCTGCACATTAATATACTTGGATCGGCATCGTTGTCTAGGGGTTGTCTTGTTCAGCAGTTCTACTGCTGTAGCCACCCGATTGCTTGTGTTGCAGGTTGAAATGTGATTTCTTATTTTTCTACCTACGTGACTTTACCAATCTAACCCAAGTCAGCACGCTCGTGGTTCGTCATTAGCCGTTGCGCTGCTGCTCCTGCAAGTAGCAGCCTGGCTTTGCGCCACTACCCTTGGGTGCAGCACAGGCTGGAGAAGGGATGCAGTGATGTGGTACAGGAGGACGTGGAGCTGAGTGGACTTGCCAATGACTGGTACCAGCGGTGTCAAGATCGGCCTCTGTGGAGGAGGCTCGTGAAGGACGCTACTGGGCAGTTGGAGGCAGTCGCCCTCCAACAACAACGGAGGGTGGAGGAGTGACGCTCACAACAACGAGCGGAGCGCCGGGTGGCTAAAGCACAGCAAGTTGGCACAGTAGGGGGCACAGGTGGTGCATCAGCCAGTCATCTCAGTCAGTCGACCCGTGGCACCTGGGTCTGCCCCGTGACCTCCTGCCAGCGGGCGTTGGACACTTCACGTGGCCTCAACGTGCACACGGCCTGGCACAATCTCCGTCGTGACGTCACCGCCACTTAGTGGCGAATGGCGGTTGGTAGTGACAAATGATGATGGTGTTGGTGGTGACTGATTGTGGTAGTAACAATGACGGTGGTGGTGGTGCTGCAGGTGGTGGAAGAACTCCTGTTGTACTACTGCGGTTGCGACAACAGAACCGGTGAATGCGACAGAGTCTGCCTGCCGCTGGGCGAAGACTTTCGTGACGTTGGCGACTTTCTGAAGGTGAGCTCACGGCTGCCGGTGATGAGACTGCACCCGGAGGATTAATCCACAGTCGGGTTACAAACGGGGGGAGGGGTCCCTAACAGCATTCACTCAACCACCACCACTTCAAAAGAAAACATGGCGGATCCTCCCCCCCTGATGATGATGACGATAATGTCAATGGTGGCTGCAGGGAAAGTACGACAGAAGTTCCGCCATGCGGCTGGTGAGGGACAACAGGAGCGGTGGAAGTAGCGGCGCCGCCCGCTGGCGTCTGGAGCCGGTGAACGAGTGGTTGACGGCGTCCTCGGAGTATGACCTGGTCCACGTGAACGCCAGCCCGGAGTACTGCGTCCGTGGCAGCACCGGCGGAGCGGGGGGGGGGGGGCAGCGCTGCAACGATACCGAGGCAGCCAAGGAATGCACCATCACATGCTGCGACAGAGGATATGACATCTCCCAAGGTGGGCCCCCCCCCCCCCCCCGGTTGAAATTGAGTTACAAGATTTGAGGATACGACAACAGACGGAGTGAGTTCAATGAAAGCGTGTAAACATGATCTCGTCCAGGAGCGTCAATCGTTCCACAAACTCCCGGTCATCTTGGTAGCAGCAGCGGCGGCTTTCTAGCTCTGCCATCGGACAGAGACGCTGGTCACTGCATCATTGCGCGCAGCGCTCTCGGATGAGCGTCTGCGGCCGTCTGGAATGCTCTTCCGATAATATAAAGCGCGATATTAGTCTAGATTGAACACTGTTTTCTTTAGAACTGCTTTTAGTATTTAGTTTGTCTTTCCCCTGCCCGCACCACCTGAGCGCATGGTTGGCTATGTACGGTGTCAAGAAGTTCAACGTACAAACTATACACTACTCTACACCACGACTCTACACTACTGTAATGACCACCTGGCCACACACCACCGTCTCTCTCTATTCACACCGTCCCTATACCACTACGCACTAGTCTTCACTACTATACAGTACCGTACACCACGCAATCACACCGAAAATGCATTTCTGTAGAACTGCTTTCCGTGATCCTTAGGTTGCTCGAAGGGATATCGTCGGCAGTGGCTCTGCGACAGCCGCTTCCCCGCGGGTCATTCGCAGAGGTCGCAAACGGGTTTTGATTCCTTACCCCTCGTACCCGTATCCGGCCGCACCAGGGTCGCTAGCGGGTACCCGGCCGTACCCGTACCCTACCCGTACCCGGCCGGGTACGGGTAGGGTACGGGTTTCGGGTACCCGCTTGCGACCTCTGGGACGAAGCCATGTTGCAGGCGCGGGTGGGTTGATTCTAGGAACTTGAATTGTGAGAAGAGACAAGACGTTGGGAAATGAGTGACAAACGGTGACTCACCAGTGACTCGCGGTCTACCCGTACCCGGCCGCACCAGGATCGCAAACGGCTACCCGTACCCGGCCGGGTACGGGTAGCCGGGTATCGGGTACCCGGTTGCGACCTCTGGTCGTTTGACAACGTCGGGAGGAGAAGTGCGCGGAGATTTTGTTCACCTCGACGTTAATGGCGGTTGCACAATTGCGATGATCTCATTAGCTCTCTCCCCTCTGCTGTTCCCTCCCAGTCACGGTGGAGATGCAGTGCGGGTGCAAGGAACAGCTCAAGGAGAACGTCAAGTGCAAGCTTTGCCCGTGGACCGTCGATCAATTCGCTTGCAAGTAGCCTCCAGCCCCAGTGGAGGGGGGGCCTCGACTGAGATCGCGACCCCCACAAAGCTGTTTAGGGCATCGACATCCAGCGTGTACCCCTCACTACGAGCTGCGTTCTACTATCCACACTTCACTCGCGTGCGATGCTACACTGCACTATGCACTACCCTACTACACACTCTGCATGCGCTTCATCTTCACGATGTGGAAGCGCCGTTGTTTTGTGACGTCGCCACTTGAATGCGCTTAGCGACCAAGTGCCGTTGTTCCGTTTATTCCTTTGTTCTCGTTAACGCCGCGTTTGCCAAATCTAGGCAACGTTCACTCGGCGCTTGTTGGGATTCACAGCGAGGTCCGTCGCACCCTTCCCTGCGAGCCGCGTCACACTGAATCCACTACTTCACACGACTTCGCACTGCACTTGTATGCAGTGTCTCACCTATAAAAGTCATTTTTGTCTCTTTATCTGTGTGTGTGGATGAAACTTGCTAAGGATTTGGCTCACGGAACCACAGGGTGTACGTTTAAAGTACCCACACACACTACGCCACACACTACGCCACACAACAGCCAGTAAGGAGTTGTAGATCCGCCACTGACAATTCACTCCAAAGCATCCGCTGATAAAAGAAGATAAAGGCGCGGTCCCTGCAATTCCCCTACTCAGGCTCTTGTTGGCAGAACGGCCTTCCCACTCTGAGGAGCTCTGGACAGAGCTCCTCGATGGGCTACTTGGCCTACTCTTCCACGCTGACGTCTACAGACGCCTTGGGAGAACACACCAGAGTGGGGGTAGCCCACACTCTACCCCACCGACTGGACCGGGTGGTGGCTGGGTGCGTTTGAGAAACGTGTCCATTGGTTCAGCTGCCGTAGCGACGGCGGGTGACGGAGCGGTGACTTCTGGATTGTTTGACCTTCTGAGTCAATGATTGGCGTCACGTTGCGAGCCCAGTGTTTGTACGTGCGACGTCGGTCAAATGAAAGTCACTTAAATTTCGATTTTAAAGCTTTCGTGACTGCAGGGATTCGTATTCTTGGTTCTTTCGGTAAAGTCACGTAGAAGGGAAGTAATAAAATAATAAAATTATAAAACAATAAAAATTCTCACGTTTCGACTGCAACACAAGCAATCATCATCAGGTGTGAAATCCACAGAATTTTTTTTTCAAATTTTCTTGCTGTGGATTTCACACCTGATGATGATTTCTTGTGTTGCAGTCGAAACGTGAGAAATTTTATTGTTTTATATTTACATTATTTTATTATTCCCCTTCTACGTGACTTTACCGAAAGAACCAAGAACATGAAAGTCACTTATTTGAACGGCCCTGGACTGAGACTGCCTGTGACCTTCAGCGTTGAGGCGCCGCTCAAATAACTTAACAGCAGCAAAGGCAAACGACAAACATCGTGAGTAGTGAACAGCGAGTGGATCAGCGCGGCTGGGCTACGTACGGTGTGAAAGAAGTGCAACACACAGAGCAGAAGCTGTTGTTTGTGTCACTTTCTTTGTTGCAACTTGCCGGAAATCTGTGTAAATTAACACAAATAAGCCGCGTGGCTCGGCAGATTTCTCCCAGTAACGAACCAAACGCCTCTTCCGATTGCGAAACACAAACTCGGCAATCAGTTGTGCAGACCAGAAGGGGGGTGGGGAGTGAATGTCGTCGTGAATGACAGCGTGTGTCTGTTACTGACTGGGTTATATCGACACACACAACGTATGTTGATCACGCATGCACACGATGCACACGATGCATGCGCATTGCGCGTGTGCACGTTCGGCCGTTATAAAAATAACTTCACCCAAATACACTCGTAGCGATGTGGACGTGTAACCCGGTCACAGGAGCAGACTTCAAGCAGCTAATGCCGATGGGTAAAGGTGCAGTCCTGCAAGTGCTCGCGTCACCGCTGCGACGGAAGGTTTTCTCGAGGGAGCTCTGGAGAGAGAGCCTCCGTGGGATGTAACTTGGCCTACTCTTCCACGCTGGCCGATACTTTGTTTTAGGAGAGGTGGGACTACACAGACTCGGTGATGATGTATCTTGGAGGAATCCGATGAGCTGTGAAGCTCTTCATCACAGATATCCAGTCGGAAATGTTGACCACCACCACCCACATTTTACCCCACCGGTGAAATTAAAGCATGCACACACTCTTGAGGGCCTTGTGATTCTAAATGTGGAGGGAAAACCCGGAGAGAAATCCACGTGGCCACGGGGAGAGAGACACGCAGGCTGCAAATATACAGCAGCAGGCGTTAGGATCGGGATCGAACCCACGACCTCCTGTATACCAGGCGAGGTAGTCAACATCTCCTAGTCACCGTGATGATGATGATGAGAGAGACACGCAAACTCCAAATATACAGCAGCAGGCATCAGGGTCTGGATAGAACCCACGACCTCCTGTATACCAGGCGAGGTAGTCAACATCTAGCCACCGTGATGATGATGAGAGAGAGACACGCAGATTTCAAATATACAGCAGCAGGCGTTAGTCGGGATCGAACCCACGACCTCTTGTATACCAGGCGAGGTAGTTAACATCTCCTAGGCACCGTGATGATGATGCTCTTTCGATTAACCCCGCTGTGTGCCAATACAAGTTGGCCCGGCTCATCTTTTGCCTCCTCGGTTGCATACTGATAGTGTGCCTCTGTGTATGTGGGGCGGGCAGACATGTGGCGTGCTGGTTAGTGAAATGCGCTACAAACGTGGTGATCTGAATACAAATGTCCAGCAGCCACTTCTAACTCGGTTGCAAATATAGGAACCGTTCCTGGGCATTCCCTTGGCTTTGAGCCTTAAGTGAGTAAGTAGCCGGCGTGTGACGTCAGCTTCAGCGTTGGGGAGACAGACGTGGTGCTGGCCACCCCACCACCATTGCAGCCTTCACGACTACCAGCAAATCGCATTGCCCCAACAGTCAGCACAGTCAGCATCGGCCGCACAGGGGTTCTTTTGAAAATGTGTAATGCTTATGTGGGTGAGCGAGGCTAAGGGTGTACGAGTGTGTGTTGGACAGAGTATTGTAATTCAAACCTTGCAAAAATTAACCCGTGAAAACAAAGTTTTTCACTTTAAATCCTTTATATGCGTGGCGGCTAGAGTCCTCTCGTCCTCTGGCTTGAGATGGCTGCCACCTATGGGTCAGATGATTGTCTGCCACCATTAAGCAATTGGTAATTAAATATTTTTTAAAAATTCCCTAAACAGTGTAAAATTTGGGAATTTTTTTTCACGAAAATTAATCGTCACGCACAACGAGTCTGTGTGGAAAATGTCAGCTCGATTGGATCACGGGAAGTGGGTTAAAAAACGACTGGAAGATTTGCACGGTCCTAAGCAAGCACGCACGCAATCACGCAAGCAAGCAAGTGAACTT